GTCTGGGAGCAGCGACGGCAAAATAACGATCGCCCCACTGTTTAAGTCTCGACCTAGGGACCTCTAACAGAAGCTGACCCAAAGAGCGCAGGGCTCTGCCACAATTGCGAAAAGTTAAAATCTCTGACAAGTAAGAGGGGGCCAAGCCATTAATGGCGTTAAAAACAAACAACAGAAGTTTAAAATCAGTTCCAAAATGGACTGGAAGCCAGTGGAGTGACGACAGCACAGGGGTAATGTGTTCGCGTCTGGACGTGCTTGTCAAAAATCAGGCAGCGGCGTTCTGCACAAGTTGGAGACGAGAAATTGAGGACTGACTGAGGCCAACAGTCAGAAATGCAGCGGCCCCAGGTGAGGAGAAAAGCACAGCTTCTTCACCTGCAGGAGTTCGTGGTGAGCAGCCAGACAGGGCCAAGAGAGCGATTGGAAACATCAGAAGACTAACATAACCATTGTTTTTTCCCAGTAATCGCCTGATTGGTTAGTAAATTGAGTGATTTGACATTTTTTGTCTGATGCTGTCACATTCTGAGAGGGCCCTGTGTGTTTTAACTGTTATGTATTGTATATTTTATACCTTTTATTGCATTTCTTTTGTAGTGGTTACGCTTGATTTTATTTTTGGTTTATGAGATTGTGGTTTTGAGCTTGCTTTTAAGTTGGAACTGAGTGTTATGTTGTACTTTCTCCCTGACATTCGGACGGATTGGACTAATCACTGGTTCCTACACCTGATCAGCTTTTAGCTTATTTTACAGACAGCAGGGCCCACCAATGGCAGATGAGAGTTGGCCCATGGTGGACCAATCGGTGGTCCAGGGGTGGGACAAAGGCAGCAGAATGCGGAAATAAGAAAGGCATACCAGGCACAACGGGGAGAGACAGAAGCAGAAGGAAACAGCCTGGAACTGCAGGAAGGAGAAGGAACGAGAGAGACCCAAAATGGATAGTCTGGAGGAACAAATGAGAGACACATGAGATACAGACGACTAAGGAGCAAGATGAAGCAGAGTGGAGAGCATTACTTGTTGGTTTACTGGCTGCAGTCTTGTGCTCCTCAGGTGTCCCTGATGGGTCGAAACGCCGGCGTTAGATTGGGTTGGCCGAAGAGGAGAGGCCTAGTGGACACGCCACGAGCGGCCAAAACCCATAAGACTGCCCAATGTGTTCTCTGTGCAATCTCCTTAGCTACTCACAGTCCTGTTTACCACTCGATTGTTTTTATTTTAACTCTGTTAAAAAATAACCCTTTCCCTTTTTATTATCATCATCATTAAATTATTATCCCCCTCCTCTTTCACCCCTAACACAAGAATGCTTTTGTTGATTTATATAAACTTGTGTGCAACTCCATGACCCTGCCTGTCAGATCAGCTGCATCTGTGAGATTATGCAGGTTAAAGGAATAGAAGCTGAGACGCCTGATCCAGCAATCTGGCTCTGCTGGCCATCAGTTCCAGGAGGACCAAAGAAGTGGACCTCAATAAGGTTATCAACTGCTTCGCTGCAACTTACAGACGTATTGTTTTCCTTCGACTGATGAGTACACAAATCTTTGTTGATATTGTTTTAAATTACTTATTAATGTTTGTGCGGGTTGATCATATCATTACCCAATGTGTGTGTGTGTTCAGTATTTTGGAAGAGACGGTTGGATCATGTTTTTAAGAGCACAGAATAGGGAAGGACAATATGGTCAAAAATAAGAAATAAATAACATAAAATAATTAACAAAAGGCTACCGTTTCCAAATGAAAAAAATAAATGTATTCCCCAGAGAATTCGCATATGAACACAGAGCAGAGTAACTCTGGACGAGGCATGCTGATACTCTATGGGGAACAGCTTTGGCAGACAACTAGGAGGCAGGACCGAAGGGTGAAGCAGGTCTGGATGGCGACCAAGAGATGAGACAGGCTGAGTTTCTGGAGTGCTGGGCAGCTGGGAAGACTTCCTGGACATGCTGGATGCTAGCTGGCTGGGAATCAGGGGTGCTCAGAAAATCCTCAGCCCACTCAGGTAGTGAACTCTTGAGCGAAGGCTTAGAGGATACTTCCTTCCATGCCATATTCAGAGCTACCATCTTGACCTTCAACAAGCTTTCATACATAGTAGAGTGCCGGACAAATCATAGAGTTCTTGATCAAAACTGTCTGCTGGGTCCATCACTGGCCAGTTCGTACTGTTAAGATTGGTGGAACTACAAGCGGTAGGACCCAAATGCATGACAGAAGACACAGGATCTTGATGTGAAACACACAGCCTTTACTTGCCAAATTGAAGGTTTGATACACAGGAGGTCGAGAAAACATAAGCAAACAAATCCAGATAGGTGGAGACAGAGTCCAAAAACAAGCAAAAATCCAAATAACCAGAGAAACAAACAAACAATCAAACTCGAGGGAAAAAGACAAAAAAGAGGAAGTACAACATTTTCCAATAAAAGTGTTTCAATAGCAATGTTTACCTTTTCAGTTCAGGTTTTGTTTTCAATGTCAGATTTAATGTCACTGTTCTAGCTCATAGGAGACAGCCTTATTGTTTACAGGTGTAATTTGCCCCAGAGAGACTGTGTTAGAAACAAAAGTTAAAAAAATGAGCAGTCTGGGAGCAACTGTACACTCACTGCTAATCATAGCTCAGACAGAGACTCAGTGCCAGAAGATCATATTTTATTAAAGTCATTCCTGCAGCACAGAGAAAGTTCTTGTGTTAAAAACTATTTAATTTTTAAAAACTATAAATCAAATCTTTAAATCCTGACAGTCCTGAAATTATATAGTTTTTGTCCTTTTTTTTGTAATTTCAAGGTCAATGTAGTTTACTAACTTTTAAGCTTTAAGTTTTAGGTATTGTGTCATTATTTGTAATACAGATATTAGAGTTATCCCATTGATGAGGTGCTTTAAGATGAATGAATGATTAGGACATTACCTTTACTAATACTATTAGTATAACTAGTTCTTTATTGCCTTCCTTTGGCCCGGCTCTGCACTGCGGTGGGGAGATGGAGGCCAAGGTGGCCAAGAAGAGCATTATTGGCTGGCTGCCAGAAGATGGCGCCATCAACACTAAAGGTCTGAGCAGCAAGGTGGATATGGGTGCCCTGTTCCATGTGCCTACATCTTTCTGGCAGAAGGAGACGAAGGAGCTGAGAGCCTACTTCACTCAGCAAGTTGAAGCTGATCTGCCGGCTCAGGTGGAGGCTGAGCTGAAGGCTCTGGAGGACAGAGTGCACAATTAAAACCCTACTGACAGGAAGTTCCTCCAGGAACAGGGAGGAGTCACTGAGGTCAGATCATAAAAGAGCGGCGGGTTACATACAAAAAATTTAGTTCTGAACCAGGTACAACAGTTTTTTTTTAAAAAAATTACTTTTTTTCCTGTGACATAGAAATACCCCATCCCTATTTGTTTTCAAACAATGGAGTCTAGTATGAGACATTACTAGTACCTGCTCTCTGTCAAAGATGGTTTAGGTCACATTTAGTATGTCTTATTCAATAATTCTTAATAAAAACCTAAAAAAAAAAACCAAACTATTTTTTTTTTTTTTTTTTTTTTAAAAAAATAATTTTTTTTTTTTTTTTTTCTTTTTTAAAAGGGAAATTTATAAGAAAAAAATGTAAGAAAAGGAATTGAGGGGGAAGGTAAAAATTTAAAATATAATTTTCCTTTTGGACACCACTTCACACTAATGCTGCAACACTGAGGGACTGGTGCTGGGTTGGTGGTAGGAGGGAGGTTTGACTCTCAACATGAAGGTTAGATTTCTGTGAAGTTGTCAAACGTGTCATGTAGATACTGTCACTACCTCCATTCACTCACAAGAGCTAGCATGGTACTAAAGCACAATCAACATGGCCCAGTAGTGCCTCTGAGATATTTAACAGTACAGTGTCTAGGATGCTGTGTTTACAAGCTGAAGCCCAAAGATCTTTTTTGGCAAAATTCTGACAAAGAGTAGATCAAGTTTGAACGTTTTTACTCATAGAAAGGTTTTAAGTGAATTTTAGCAGCTCTTTTAATACATTATTGACTGAGTCTGAAGAAATGCCCTTTATGTTAAATTGAACTTGAAATTAGAAAATATATTAATCAGATGTACAATAAATACTCAAAACATTGTAGCAGATTTCCAGTGGACCCGAGAATTACTATGCTAGTTCATCTCGTCACTTTCGTTATGTTTGTGATTAAATTGTATGATTTCAGGTGATGTTTACACACAATATGTTAAATGTTGGACCAATAAATGCGAGTGAGATTATTAGGTATTTTTAGAAGTTGTATGCCAACGTTTTTATTACAGTGCAATGAATAAATATCTTCAAATGCAGAAACTCTGTCTTGTGTATATTTTAGAAGTAATATAGTAAATATGTAAGAAAATGGGATAAACAATAGATAAAGCAAATGAGATCAATATGCCTTGTTAAAAATAAAATGTAAAATAAACATAAACATTTCAAAAGTAGATATGATCTTGGACTACACTGGTAATGTGTGTACAGAACTGCTTCTGGTGTCAAGTTCACTATAATTCATTCTCATGTCATTAAGATTAGTTCCTATTCAGAGCTTTGAGACTTTTACTTGCACATATCTCACAAGCAGATTACTAACGACACAGTAACAGCTGTATGAGGTCAGTACATAAATCTGAACTATGATAATGTGATCACTGAGAAAACCATCGGAGCTGCAGTGTGTGGAGTTTAATTTATTTAACTGTGAGCAGTAAACATTTTCCTGTCTAGTCTCCACTGACTTTTCTTCATTAACTGACATAAAACATGTGGTAAAATTACAAAATAAAGGTAGATTATGAATCCAACCCAAGTGTGATCACAACACAGTACTCATTTATTATTTCTTCACTTGAGCGTAGAGATCCTCTGGACCATCAGCAGTGTGAGTTAATCTGTTTGATGGCTCAATTTCCCTGTGCATAGTTTCCTCGCTGTCCACTGTCCGCACTGAGTCAGAGGACGGTTCAGGTCTCCTCTTCGAAAGTCAATCTCTCCATAATGGATGTTTTCTTAATTTGTGCTGACTGGCATTTGAAGAGAAAGCTCTTCACCTCTTTGACTCTGAAAAATGAATCAAATAAGAATTGTTGTGAGCTGGATCCTTCCAGATTAAATCATCACAGATCAATCTAAATTTCACTTTGGCACACAAACATCTGAAAACATCAATCTGAATCCTGACTCAGGTTAAACATTTGTTCTGAATATAGTTAATGGTATATGCTTTTGTAATATGATGCATATAGTCTTATTTATGTTAAATGAAATTCATAAATTTACCAGTTAACAGTTATTAAATACCATTTTAGTGTGAGGTTTGATATGTTGACTAGCTATCCCTCACAGCTGATACTCTTCACTCAAACTGGTCATACATATATTAGCCAACTAATGTTAGCTTTATCAATTCTTATTGATACTCAACAGCTGCCTGGAAGTTACATATATTTATTCACTAATGTGTGTTTAATGTTGTGATGCATAAATATGTACTTAATAAACTGCATGTGCAACTGGGTTAAATCTTCACACTGGTTTCCAGTTAGCTAATACAATTTAAATAGTTGCTGCTGGTTTATAAATCACTTAAAAAAACCAGGCAAAAATATGTTCCTGATATGCGTGTAGAAAATATAGGTCTCTTTATCTTTTAGGAAACAGCTCATGCCTCAAGTCAGAAACATCCTGTAAACAGATGAAACCAACTTGCTGATAATATCAAATGTGCTCCAACTTTAGATACTTTTTAGATACAGATTTAAACTGAAACTACACAGTCTACTGTGGGTTGTGCAGTTTTGGACTGGGATTACTTTAAAGTTTCCAATCACAGTGTCAGGGTGTTGCTAACAGGTTGTTTAATTCCATTTGTTGTTTTTGTTAATATTTGTCCCACTCAGTAACCTCTCAAACACTGTCTACTGATTGTTGAGACTGATGCTTTCATATATATCAGACAGAGTCACTGTAAAATACTTCAAACAAACAGTTCAGTACAATGAAGGTTAGTATTTTCCCACCTGAGTCTGTTGTGGAGTTTGATGTTTCCACTTAAACCACCTGGAAGACATTAGAGAGCTGTCAGAATAATTATACTGTGTTTCAGGTTAAATAGATGATAGAAGTAAGGACTGATGGGAAACAGCATTATTGGATGCATAAAAACATACAGATTAAAATACAATTGGTAGAGATTGGTGATGAAACTAAAGGAGGACAGTAAATCACAGAACAGGTGGTCTGAACAACAACTTTTGTTCTCTTTTGAGAGTTTCAGAGTCAACCACTTTAATCAGTACAAAAATGTAAATGTGAGGAATGTGTTGGTACAGAAATAAACAAAACTGACAGATCACATCCTCATCCATGCTCTCACCATGAACGTACGTTTAGTTAAAACTTCAGGGACAGAGAGTTTATTGTGTCACATCCTTTAATTTGTGATACTTACCAAACACAGAGAGCAGTGCAGATGAGAATGACAACAATGATCCCTCTGACAGCTGAACCCAATTGTAGATGGGTAACCATCGTTGGAGTCTCTCTTTTAACATCTAGGTCAAGTTTAATTGTATAGAAATTCATACATATGCAGAAAAAGTGCGAGGTACTAAAACAAAGAAACTACAATACAGCTGAGAGAAAGAAGATAAAAAGAAAAGAGGAAAGTAATTATATAATAAGATTCAGTTTGACATTTACCTGCACTGTTTAAATGAATCCATGATGATGCCTGAGCACCAAAATCATTCATTGCCACACAGTAATAAACTCCTCCATCTGTCATATTGAAGCTGTAAAACGGTCCTTCAGATACAATCATGGGTCCATCTTTGCTGTTCTTGAACCAGGTGAAGCGGCTGACGGGAGGCTTGGCTCTGCTGGAGCAGGTCAGGTTCACCCAGCTACCTGCTGACACCAAACCTGATGGACTGATGGACACTGAGGTGTTTTCAGGAGCATCTGAGGAAAATGTGAGATTAACTTTACTCATTAAAAATCAGCTGATATCCCATGAATCATCATGTGTTGACAGGATCCAATAACAAACTCTGGTTGTCTTACATGAAACACTGAGAGTCTTTCTCTCCTCTGCTGTCTTGTTATCTTTTCCTTCATTCACAGGATATCTGACAGAACAGGTGATGTTGTATCCATCATGTTGGTCTGACAGAGTGAAGCTCTCCTGGATTTTAGTTGTGAAGGTTCCATCTGTGTTTTCTTCTGTGTGGTTGTGAGAGTTTTTTTGGAGATTCCAGGTGAGTTTAGGAGGTGAGTGTGGACAGGGAGTGAAAGCTGAGCAGGTTATAGTGACTGACTGCTTCTCCTTCAGATCACCTGAGATCTCAATTCTGGGGCTCGGAGGAGAATCTAAAGGTTTAAACAAACAGATGAAGCTGATACTTCTGTACTGAAACGGCATAAAGTATAAATAACAGTTTGTTCTGCTTTTCGGTGTCCCAACATTCGATCATTTTAATATCAAACTGTAACAATAGACTCATTGTTTAATCAGAATTTAAATTCATGATAAAGTGAAAAACCTCCAAATTGATCAAGTGTGCTGTTTAGACCAAAACTGTAACTGATTTCACTTTTTATTCTAAACAATAACATTATAGACTGACTGAAAGAAACAAAGCTCTCTTACCTTTAACTGTTATTTGAAGAGGATCACATTCAGCTGTTGCTCTGAATGGTTTAGTCTCAATTCTGAAGTAGTATGTGTCTGTATAATTTGTGATTAAACTGGAAAACAGAGTGGTGCAGTTTTTCTGACTCAGGTTTCCAGTAATATTCATTGGATACGTGTTAACTGTCTTACTACTGTTGAAAATCACATTGTTTGGATTGAGGCCAAATCTGTAGTCAGTCTTAATCCAAACTCCAAAGGTTTCTCTGCTGCTGTTAAACTCTTGTTCTGGTTTAGCTCTAAGGTTACATGGGATTTGCAAACAAGATCCACTCAGTGCTTCCATCTTCTGTGGTGCAGTAATTAAGAGGTTTGATCTCTGAAGACAATCAGCCAAAGCACCTGTAAAATCAGACTCATGATGAACAAAATGTGGAAAAAATCAGCATGAAGAGAAAGTTCATGATAAACAAATCAGCAGTGTGTTGCATGCTGGTCTTTTCCCCTGTCCTGTTAACAATTTCTATATAAAACATTTCACTTTGCAGTCAGGACATGAACAGTTGGAAAAGGTAACTCTATCTGCACTGGTCTTTCTGCTTTGTTTCTAAATGAAGTCCAAACTGTAAATGATTAACGTCTCCAAATAAAAGTGACTGAACAAACAGCTCACCTGAAAGAAAGAAGACACTCAGTAACATGTTGGCTGTCACCATATTCACAGACAGGACTGCAATCACACTCATCACCTGGATCTGAAATAAAGTTACTTTTCAATATTTGAATCAAAACATCTTTTAAACAAATCTTTCATGTTGTTTTAAAGCAACCTCAGATTCACACATTCAAACCAGGAACTTGCCATGTCCAACCAGATGTTACTGTGTTATAAGTAGTGATGAATAATATCTGCAGAGTTGCTCTGAAAACAGTTTCAATATAAAATCAGAATGATCCAGTCTGAGTTTATGATATCATAGTTCAAATAAAATGTTGCTGAAGAAACTTCTCATTTCTTTGAGGATCATTTCTGCTAAAACAAAACCCAACAAATAAAATATATCATGTCTTTTTCAGTGGAGTTCATGAAAAGCAGCAAAATAAAAACTCTCTGGGTTAAAAAGTTCAAACATAAAAAGCAGTAACATTTGACCTTACCAAACGAGCCTGCAGATAAACCGGAGAAACAATTAGTTTTAAAATCAGACAATCTGTGAATTTCAGCAGAACTGCAACAGACCCAGTAACAGTCTTCCCTGCTAAGCCGCTGTAACATAAAAGCAAACAGACTTGTTGTTTTAAACTAGATATCACATGATTAAAATCAGAAATCTTCACTCTTCCTGTTCGCACCCTGTGAGTGAGGAAGTCAGCTTTTGTTGCATCTTAACCTTATTAGGGTGAAAAAGACTTCATCATTATATATTTATTTATTTTAAATGTATTTTTTGGCCTTTTAATGCCTTTGTTGATAGTGACAGCTGAAGATAGACAGGAAAGGGGGATAGAGAGAGAGGGAATGACACGCAGCAAAGGGCCGCAGGTCGGATTCGAACCCTGGGCCGCTGCAGCAACTCGGTACATGGTCGCCAGCTCTACAAGGTGAGCTCATTATTTATTTTTAAATATTGTTTTTATCACATGACTCACTGAGAGCCTGTATGAGTGATTTTCTTTTATTACATATTACATTAATCACAATAGTGACATATTAAGAAATATAAAAATATAAACGTCAGGTACTGTGAGCTAAGTCATCTCTTTTAAAATTTTGTTTTTTAGGATACATAGAACTACAGTAATACTTTAATTTATGCATTTTCTGACACTAACAATGACCAACTTCCTTTTCAGCACATCTTCCACCGCTTCTCTTTTACCCACTTTAACTCATCAACCACACACTGACAAACCTAATGCTTTCAACACGTATTTCATCACATTAACAGAAACATGTTCAGCATTGAAACATCATTGAGTAATTTCAGAAACTAGACGATGACAAGTCAACTTGATACCACAGGGTACATTTGATGTGTCTTTAAATAAATGTGAAATTCTCTTGAAGGACTTGTACCACACTGTTGACTGTGTAATGGCTGTACTGTGTGCCACTGTCAGTACATAATGTATAGATAACTCAACAGCTGAACTGTATTCAGGAATTAGAGGTTCAGTGTGGAAGATTAAGTGGCATCTAGCATTGTAGTTGCAGATTGCAACTCACTCGCTTCACCCTCCCTTTTCCCATCCTGGCTGTGACTGTTAGTCTTGTTAGTGTCTTTTAACATATACTGTTGAATTTACAGCCCCAACTTTACTGTTTTGGTTCACTCTCACAGCTTTCATCAGCCTCATTTTCAGATGCAGCAGGTAGTTACTAGTTACTTTGCAGATAGATTTTACATACAGAACATATTCTCATTAATATGATTTATAGTTACATTAAACCAAGGAGATGAAAGTAATACCACTGAATATTTAAGAATTAGAGGAATAAGAAATATGTGACATTAATGGTGAACATGACCTCTTGCCCTTCTCCTTCATGAAGCTTCAATCTCAGTCACTCCGTTGACATCGTCTGCTAGTAGCTGACGTTAAAACGAGCTAACGCTATTCATTGAGTAGCAAACCGTGTTAGGCTAAAAGGTTACTATCATTCTGCAACAGACAAATCATGTCATGACATCATCTTTACTGTACCTCTGTCTTCTTTTCTTTTTTCCTTCCCTGGGCACTGGAAAGTTTTGGTCGTTTTGACATTGTTAATAGTTTCTGGGGTGACGTCAGAAAACTCAACCATCTCTCAGAGAGCAGGTAGAGTCTAATCAGTGGGGGGGCTTAATAAAGTATTTAAAGGTTTATTTTGTTCATACTAAGAAATAATAGCACCAACTAGTTTTAGTATAAAAATATTGAAAGTTGCACCTTTTGTTTTTTCTTCCCCCCTAGATGGACGGCACCCTTAGCATTTGCCTATACTGCCTATGCCACGGGCCGGAACTGAAGTCACATTATTGTACACATATACTGTGCACGGACTGCCTCACACAACACAGTGTTTGTGTCACCTTCTTCTTTAACATATTACCTGTTTGAGTCATTACAATTTGTATTCCATGTCAACATTTACAGCACACATCAAACATGACAAAATGTTGATGTCACTCACGTTATGTTTGTGATTACATTTTTAAACATACTTTTCTGTTTGTTTAGGTTTTGTTTTAAACACAGTATTGTTCCTTCCATGTGGTATAAGTCTATTATCAAACCTATCCCAAAGTCATCTAAGAATGACCCTAGGATACCACTCAATTACAGGGGAATCAGCCTTCTTAGCACAGTGTATAAATTGTATAGTAGTATTTTGAATGCTACGCTGACCGAGTATCTGGACACAGAGGAATATTTAGTTGATGAACAGAATGGGTTCAGAAGGAGTCGAGCCTGCATTGATCATATTCATACAATTTCAACAATTGTCAGGACAAGAATTGAAGAAAATAAATCTACTTTTGTTTGTTTTGTGGATTTCCAAAAGGCTTTTGATTTGGTAAATAGAGATCTGCTTGCCTTAAAACTTTTAAAAGGAGGTGTGGATGGTAAATTCTATCAAGCTCTAAAGTCACTGTATAGTTCCTCAGTTGCATGTGTTCAGGTAAATGATTTTCAAACTGACTGATTTAGAACCCCCTTTGGTGTATAACAGGGTGATGTCCTGTCCCCTACTTTGTTTTCTCTTTATATAAATGACCTGGCTTTTGAAATCAAGAATGCTAATTTAGGTATACATTTGAATGATTTAACTGTGGGTACTTTGTTGTACGCGGATGATATTGTTCTGCTGGCTGAATTGGAGGATGATTTACAGAATATGTTAAGATTAGTACAGACCTGGTGTTGCAGATGGAGGCTGTCCATAAGTCAGAGTAAAACACAGATAATTCATTTTTAGAAAAAAAAGGTGTCCCAAGAAGTGAGAAAATCTTTACTTTTTCTGATATGCCATTAGAAAATACATCTGTTTATAAATATCTGGGATTTCCACTTGATGAATTTATGAATTATGAAAAAGGAATTAAACTCCTGACTGATTCAGCTGGCAGAGCTTTGGGTTCCGTTGTTAACAAGTTCAAAATATGTAAAGACCTTGGTTATTCTACTTACTCTCACTTGTATGATGCATGTGTTTCTCCCATTGTGAATTATGCTGCTGGGGTATGGGGATTTAAAGAAAGAAGGATTTCAGATGCAGTACAAAACAGAGCTATACGTTGTTTTCTGAGTATTCATAAATATATTCCCTCTTTGGCTGCTCAGGGTGACATGGGCTAGATTCCTGGTACAATTAGGAGAAAGTGTGATATGATTAGACCGTGGAATCGTTTTATTAATATGTCAGATGACAGGATCAATAAGAAAGTTTTCCTTTGGAGTAAAGTCCAGAACTCTCCATGGGCCACAGAGATTCATGCTGTCTTTGAAGAAGCCGATTTTTAGTATATCTATTGAAATAATGTATCATGCAGCATAAACAAAATTAGAAAAAAGTTACTTGTCAGGTTCAATGAAAAATGGTTAAATGATTTAATGTTAAAACCAAAATTACGGACATATGTCCAAATCAAGCCTAATTATGAAACAGAATTATATGTTGAAACAAATTTACCAAGAAATCAGAGATCCTTGATTGCCAAATTAAGACTGGGAATCTTTCCCCTGGCACTTGGGGTTGGCAGATATAAAAATATCCCAGAGGAACAGAGACTTTGTGAACTTGTGATTTACGAGAAGTGGAGAATGAATCTCATTTTCTTTATACTGTCCCTTCTATGATGAACTAAGAGTACCTGTTGTAAATTAACTGTTTGCTCAAAACCCTGAAATATTTTGGAGTAATGATGATGTCAGGATGGAATGTTTGTTTACCTTTAATGTTTATAAGTTAGTCTCTTTTGTTACTAAAGCCTGGATGAAACGTCAGGATGGTTTTTATCATTAATGTTAGTATTGTTTAGCATTTACTTTTGGTTTTTGGTCTGTCTATGTTTTATAATGGTGTTTTGTAACCCCTTGTGGGCTGGGCATGCTAATGCATGACACAATAATACAAAATAAATACAATTCAAATTCATGATTTCATTCTGTATGAATTCAGGTGATGTTTACACACAATATGTGAAATGTTGGACCAAAGATGCGAGTGATCCTGGGAATAGTAATGCTCTACAGTTCAATTATCATCTTTTATTAATTTTCATTCATTCATTCATCTCCCTCTCTTTGAGGTGGTTTTGATCAAGATGCTGCAACAAACCAGTAAAGGTAAGCTACTAGACAGGAACATTATTCTTTAAACAAGATATGTGTTGTCTGTGTTGTTTCATTTCCACAGGACGCAGTAGAAGTAGACGATGTCAACAGAGTGACTGAGATTGAAGCTTCATGAAGGAGAAGGGCAAGAGGTCATGTTCACCATTAATGTAACATATTTCTTACTCCTCTAATTCTTAAATATTCAGTGGTATTACTTTCATCTCCTTGGTTTAATGTAACTATAAATCATATTAATGACCATTATTGGGTATTTTGTATGCCAACATTTTTATTACAGTGCAATGAATAAATATATTCAAATGCATGAACTGTGTCTTGTGTTCATTTAAAGAAGTAATTAAAACACAAATGGAAATGTGGGAATATGTAAGGAAACATATTAGTAAATAGATAAAGTAAATGAGATCAATATGCCTTGTTAAAAATAAAATGTAAAATAAACATAAACATTTCAAAAGTAGATATAATCTTGGACTACACTGGTAATGTGTGTACAGAACTGCTTCTGGTGTCAAGTTCACTATAATTCATTCTCATGTCATTAAGATTAGTTCCTATTCAGAGCTTTGAGACTTTTTCTTGCACATATCTCACAAGCAGATTACTAACCACACAGTAACAGCTGTATGAGGTCAGTACATAAATCTGAACTATGATAATGTGATCACTGAGAAAACCATCTGAGCTGCAGTGTGTGGAGTTTAATTTATTTAACTGTGAGCAGTAAACATTTTCCTGTCTAGTCTCCACTGACTTTTTCTTCATTAACTGACATAAAACATGTGGTAAAATTACAAAATAAAGGTAGATTATGAATCCAACCCAAGTGTGATCACAACACAGTACTCATTTATTATTTCTTCACTTGAGCGTAGAGATCCTCTGGACCATCAGCAGTGTGAGTTAATCTGTTTGATGGCTCAGACACTTTGACCTGTGCATA